ATGTATTAAATATATCGGGTTCGTTAAGTGCCACACTAACTTCTTCTAGACATCGCGACATTGACGGTTGTAAAATTGATATAAATAATCCATTCGCGATGTCCATCTGGTAACTGCCTGTTGCGAAAAAACGCAATGCAGCTAAAACCTATAAAATATAATGTTAATGGCTTTACTATAAGACAAAATGAAAAACTTACCCTTGTGGTCACGCTTAAATCTGTTGCTCGTCTTTGTACTCTCATGTGCGGAGTGAGTACTTCAATTAAGTAACGGCACAATTCCTTACTCAATCGAAAATTCTGCACAAATTGATTGTCAGATAACATTTTAAATGGATCAATGTTGTTAAATCGGTTACGGTTACGTCGTTGGACTGCTTCTTCCGCGTTTTCCAAATATTCAATGTCGGCAATAGCTTGCAAGTCGTCCATAATTAATACCCAAATGAGTGTATCTAATCCCTTTATTTAATAATTTTCATAGAATTTTCTTCTTAAAAATGATTTTAACTTTACCTGGAAAGTTATTAATATGTAAGTATTAGATATTATTGAATGAATAAAATTTTAAAATAACTTACAGTTCCAAATTTTCTACATAAAAGTCACAGCAACAATTAAAGATACTGAACAATTTGCAAATTTCATTTACAAATAAATAATCTTAATATTTTGTTTAGAGGTTGCAATCTTCACTTGCAAAGACGATGCGAATGATTACAACCACTCGTAGGAAGTTTAGAACGCTCGGAATTGTTGCGAGCGCTCAAGAATACGAAAAACTCGATTTCGTTCGCATCGTTCGATCTTGCGAATGACATTTGTACTTACGAGTGGTCAAGAATAGCGCCCCAGGATGGCAACTTCGTCTACTGTTGGAGCATTAAATGTGCGTTCGTGTGTTCCAGATGGTCGTTTATCTGCTTTGATGACAACTTTATAGTCATCATTTGGCATGCGCTCTAAAGCACTCTTAAACAACCTGACCAACGCATGATGTTCATGAAGCAGACACTGCAAGTCTTGCTCGCTTCATTCCTGCATTGATCCCTAGGCGTCAATCAAGTTGTTTTTCCATGTTGCCCATGAAATATATTTGTAAAAATTTATTCTGTGTATCTTCGAAAGGTAGTAATGATCCAATTCGATGGTGAATCTATCCTTGTATCTACAAAATAAAAACCAGACAGTATTAACTGGGTTATAAACACTTTTTCTGTGGGATTTAAAAAATTTAGATATTATGTTCAAATAATATTATGTTGATTGATATTAACACATTAATACTATTAATGTTAATCTATTAATCTTATACTGAGGTTAGAGTAGTTTTTGGCGTTGAGCATACTGGGCTACTTGGACCTGATAATAGGTTAGAGTTATTCAAGGATCCCTTTTGACTCTGTGCTGCCTTAGATGTAGAGGCTAAAGTTTTATTTTGTTGTATTGTGTTATTATCCTTATCAAAATTAATGTTTGTCACCATATGTATTGGAGTGTCACCAGGAACGGGAGGAAACCTTTTGATTTGTGATTCTTCCTCTGACATATCACTGCCTGAAGAAAGTCTCCTCTTGTGTTTTACTTTTCTAAATCGTTTTGCTTCCTCATAATCTGTTGTGCTTAAGTCAGATTTTTCTTCTGCTGTTCTTAACTTTCTTTTTGCAATTTCATACTCATCTAAATAACAAACAAGTCGATGTAAAAGAGAAAGTAGTTTACAACATTACTGAATCAGACCATCATTTACCAATACTAAGCATGAACACTTACTATATATTCCCGACTTTTTTATTTCAAAACGTGACCAAATAGTGTCAGGGATTTCTTGATTTAAAACTGCCTTATAATACCTCTGCTGATTAGTGATGGGTGGCCAATAGCAAAGTCTTTCATTAATCAACCAATTTTCTGGCACAATCTGTACCTCATCATGAAATTCCACGACACAAAAATTATGTACCATTTTGTATCAATGAAGAAAGTAACAATAAATACCTGCAATTAAATAAAACAGTTGTTATAGAAAAAAATATTAGCACATACTAATTAGTTAATACTAACAATGCTTAAATACACATAAAAATGTATCACTATAACAAAAGAGTATTTAAAGGGCGAACTAAAGTTAACAAATTAATTCATGAATGAAATGACAGTCTATATACACATGAAAGAAGCTATTAAATTATAAAAAATCAACATAGCTAGTTAGTTATATCACTGTGTAAAAGAGGAAAAACTGCAAATCCCTCTTTAAAAGAAAACTTTTAACACTTTGCAATTACATGGGAAACAGGCCATTCCTCAAATATTTCTGAGAGTTCACTTACGAACATACAGTTGATAAATGATGATGGGCAGGGTTTCGTATATATATCAGAAATACATAAATATTTTTTTCCAATTACAGCTAAACTATTAAAATTATAACTAAATACAAAATTGAAAATTTGAATAACACTTTTCCGACTATACAACAGTTATCAGGTTCATTCACTGATAGCAGCCACTTTGGTGTCTTTATTTGCCTGAATTGTTCAGTAGACAACATTTTAGTGAGAAGTGGTCCAGTTGAGTGTGGTTGACTACACTGCACATCTTCTAAACAAGTATTTTCTTGACTACAACCCAAAAGAGTCTTTTCCATGTAACGCCGGTGTAATTGTTGTAATGGTTTATCATGTTTTCTTAAGAGACCTTTTAAGGTTCTCATATAGTTTTCAAATGGAAATGCACTATAGACATCTAAAGGTCCCAGTTTTTTCACATCATCAACCATATGCAGTAATCCATAAATGTTATGTGAAACAAATTCTGCACCATAAATCAATATGAAGTGTTCAACAAAATATTCCAGTAAGCTTTGTGCATAATCAATACATTTTTTAATAAGATCTTAGAGACTGCAGAGAATTCTAATTGCTACATGCAGTGTTAAAAAATGTTCATAAACAGTTTTAGGTACTATTTTATACAAAACAACTGGGCATGTATATAAAATTAACTGTCTCAACTCCGTAGCTTTACATTTTCCTACAAACTCAATTTGCTGTGGTTTTCGAGCAAATTCTTTTATGATGAAAGGTCTTAATGAAATCAGATGCTCTGACAATAAAGCAATTTTAGCATGAGGCAATCTAACACTTAAAACCTCACCATGTAGCCACATACTTATAATTTTTTTTACCACACCAACACATACTAAATGCATATAATCGAGAGGTATTTGAGAAACAATACCAAAATTGGGTATTTCTGTTAGAATTGTTGTTCCTAAATGGTACTTTTCATTAGTCTGCAAAATGAAATTTTTATCAGTTCTCAGCCACCCATATAACGAATTTCAGGAAAACACATTCTTCTTCAAACTGGTATGAGTACAAGAGATGCTTTGTTCGGCTTGAATGTGCTGGCTCAGAGATGCATGGACATGAATCAGGATATGTACTTATGTTTTGTAGACTTTGAAAAGGCATTTGATAAAGTTCAACATAAAAAGCTTGTAGATATATTAAAAAGCAAAAATATTGACAGTCGTGATCTGAAAATTATATCTAATTTATATTGGAATCAAACTGCCAAGGTAAGAGTTGACAGCCAGTACACCGAAAATATCAAAATACAAAGAGGAGTCCGCCAGGGTTGCGTGCTGTCCCCACTACTTTTCAATGTCTACAGTGAAGCGGTATTTCAAGAAGCGCTCTCAGGCTCAATAGAAGGTATATCTATCAATGGAGAAGTTTTGAATAACTTACGTTTTGCAGACGATACAGTAATAATTACGGATAACAACAATGATTTACAGAACCTAATGCAACGCCTTAATGAACGCTGTCATGAGTACGGACTGAAGATAAATTTAAAGAAAACTAAATGCATGATCATGACTAAATCTGCACATGCAAATATCCAATTGACTATTGAAGATACTGCAATTGAGAAGGTTAATAACTATAAATATTTAGGAACATGGATAACATTAGATGTAGACCAAACCAAAGAAATTAAGACACGTATTGAAATAGCACGTACATCATTTATTAAACTTAAAAAGTTTCTTTGTTGTCGGGATATAAGGTTAGAACTACGCCTGAGAATGCTTCGATGTTACGTGTTCTCTACTCTTCTTTATGGTCTGGAAGCTTGGACACTCAAACAAGTTCATCTGAATAAGCTGGCCGCCTTTGAATTTTGGTGTTACAGAAGAATCCTACGAATATAATGGATTCAAAGAATATCAAACATGGAAGTAATTAGAAGGATAGGAAATGAGGCGGAAATAATATTAACAATTAAAAGACGAAAACTTGAGTACTTGGGACATGTGATGAGAGGGCAAAAATATGCATTATTACAACTTATTATGCAGGGCAAAATCCGAGGAAAGCGAAATGTGGGAAGACGAAGAATATCCTGGCTTAAGAACTTAAGGGAATGGTTTGAATGCAGTAGTGCAGAACTTTTTAGAGCGGCAGTCAACAGAGTCCGCATAGCCATGATGATTTCCAACCTTCGATAGAAGATGGAACTTAAAGAAGAAGAAGACATTCTTCTATTTTTTATATTCCCCTTCTTGAGTACATTTAGTGCATCCAAAATAACCAGCATGTCCCTTAGTCTTTGTTATAAAAGATTTAGCAGGAGCATCACACACAATACAATATATTTCAAAAATATATTTTTTTCCTTCATAAATTACACCATTTTCAATGAGCTCAAGTAATTCTTTTACAAACTCTTGCAGAAATTAATTGGCATTATTAGGTTTTGAGTAGCCATGGCAGGCTCCTATTAAAAATACTTTTGAACTAGAGTTAATTGATCCCAATATTGGCCACAGCTGACTATTGTTTGACTCTGATAGTGGTAAGCCATCAATTACAACCTTTAAAGTAACTTTAGAGGATTTGAAACAATTACTGTTCAGCCTAAGGATATTTATAATACCTGCTAAAATTCCAAAATGACAATATTTGCCCGGATGTACATCTCTAATTAAAGTGCTTCGAGGGTCTTTAAGAGAGCCCTTGCATCATTTGGAATTTGGTGTCCATTAGGCAATTCTTGATTTAAAATAGTCAGTAACTCAGATAAAGCTTTTTGATTAATATTGTTTTGTAATGCCCAGTCAACAATTTTTTGTCTAAGTGTTTTGTTCTGTATTGTATCATTTAATGGAAATTTTAAATGTTCTAAATTTTCTGAGCTTTGGTCCAAATCTGAACTACTAATATTCAAACTACTATTATTCTCTGCAAGAAAATTTAAGTTGTTACTGTTTGTTAACCCCAAATCAATGTCATCAAAGTTAGTATTTAGAATTTCAGCATTTTTGTTTTCTGGTATGTTTGGTTTTGAACTGTCAGGAAGATCACACTTCTGTACTGGAGAGTTTTGGATTACAGTATTTTTGAATGAATAAGAGCTACAAATAGTTTCTCCGTCAGCCACCACATCAGTGTTTTTAGCAGACTGATCAACTACCAACTCCTTTGCTATTCGTCGCAAATGTCTATCACAAATATCTACCAAGCACTTTCACATTTTTTTAAAAAGACAAAGAAAAAAAAACGGTAACACAATAATGCAACTGTAAAGTTTGGTTAGGTTGGAGAGAAAAAAGAATACTTACCTCAGTAAATCAACACTGTTTTTATTTTGACACCAGCCGAATGAAAATACCTATGCAAGGTTACTAAATATGGACATAGATTTTTTCGGCAACGGTAATGTTGATTTAGTCTTCCACACAACAAACAATACATACTACGTTCCACCATGTTGTTTGTTAGACGCGTGCTTCGACCGTCTAATTTGATGTCCAGTGGATATACAGTGGATATTTGTAAATTGTGTACTAGAGATAAGGATTTGAATATATAATGGATATCCATTAGATATCGAAATAAGCAAATGCATTCTAATCGAAGAAATTTGTTTAGCTGTTGTAACAGTTGGTAGACAATTGCATATAAGTATCTCAGTTATTTTAAGGAGGTGAAATATATTTTATTCTAAAAAATAAACGTCCATATCTTATGACCAAAAGATGTCCATTAGATATCCACTAGACGACATGTGCTGTGTGGGTTTGTAGTTTATACCACGGATGATAATATTCAACTAAACTGAATAAAAATAAAAATCTTTTTCAAAAATTAAGGCCCCTAAATAATAAAACTCAAGTATTTCTTCCAACGAACCATAATTCAATTTTTTTTATTATTATTGCTTTCAGTTTATAATACATGTAGCAATATTATGGAAGTGAATGAGTGACGTGTTAATTACTCCAGTATCTAAGGATTCTTGTGATTATTTTAGGTATCGGGTACTTGTTGGGTAGGATTGGATTACTTCTAATCTTAGTAAGTATTTTGATACAGAAGTATCAAGTAGATATCCGACCAACTCTAATTAATATATCCTGCCATCTACTGAAAAACGAAATAAGCATACAATAATATGAAGTGATAGACGGCTACAAGTAGAGTTCTTTTTTACGGCATTACAGAGGACTAGATGTCAATTAATTATTTGATAAATATTTCTATTTATATAAAAAACTAAGAGAAAAAATTATATTTTTACAAAAAACAGAGTAAAAAATCACAATTTTATTCTTGATTGTTACAGCTGAAAAATCCGTAGAAATGTGATAGATATCCGAAAATCCTAACTAATTTCGAAAATCCGTAGATCTACAAATAAATCCGTAAAGTTAACAACACTGAGTAGGAAGCACGAAATGAAGTTTAAAACGGAATGATACAGATGACGTACGCATGTATTCTGTGATGTTCGCAATCACCCACTGTTCGCTATTACCCGTAGTTCCCCTACTATTTTACCAATTAACTTACTAAGTTAATTGTATTCCATTAATAACAAAATTTTAGTATTTTTCCCAATATGTTTAGGGAATAATATTATTCAAAACTGTCCTTAATTAGGTAAACCCTTTAATTTATCAAGGAACTAGTAATAAATGAAACTAGGTAGATAAGTGTAAAATTATTTGTTTATTTATTTTTACTAAATTTTTAAGTAATACACTTTAACGTACCATTAGCTATTACAGAAATTCCTATTATAAAATATATAGTATATAGTAGTATATATAGTATATAATTATAGTAGTTTTATAGCATAATATAGAGTTACAACTTCCGCTAAATTAGACTGCTGAATAGGAACATATTTCACAGTCACTCATTAAGTAATTTCGCCGAAAGTGTGGAGCCCGTTTAACGGTTTTATCTTAAGTGTATTTGGAGTCATAATTGAGCCATTCAGAAGCCAATGGGCCTATGTCCCTTTTTATAAATTTTTCAGGAGAGCAATATTAGTGTTGACACTGATAATATTATAAGATAAACACATTTTTTATTATTATGGCCTATACTTGTTCATTAAAAACGTTGCAAATATTTATTCCTATAGTAATATTTTTTTTAGTTACATATTTATTTACATATTAAAGAAAAATTAGATTTTACTGGACTTTATCGATTTGGCATCTGAACATTTTTGAACTACGAAATTAACCATATCCGTTTGACTTGAAAAGAGCCTACTATTATACATTTTTGAGGTACTGGAAATAAAAATGTGAGAAAAATTCAAAGTTTTATTAACTGAGCAAAATTTGAATGCAATAGGAATACAAACGCAAATAAAAATAACATAAATCTTTATTCTGAACGGCAACATTTTACGTGCTTATCCATTTACCTTATCATCTTGGTACTGAATCTCATCATTTTCCTCATCTATATCTACTAATGGGGCAATCTCAGACGTTTATCTTACATTTACTGTTCTGAGTTTTTGAAAATACCTGTGTTTATTAGGGGGGACAAACTTCAACAAACTAAGCATATCTTTCTTTTTTTGAAAAGTTACAGGTCTGTCTGCTTCATACAGTAGCGGCTGATGAATAAGTTGTAGGTTCAAGGGGTGCTCAACTTTATATTTTCCTCTTGAACGTTTTGCAACACAAACTTCATCGAATTGGACATCGTCATTTAGGGTTTCTTTAAAATAAATGACTGACTGTTTAGATCTAACTAGGCGAATCCATCGCATATTCAGCCAGTTCAATTTGACTTTGTCGTCACTTATTTTGGGATTCACTATAGCTTCCTCTAAAGGTAAAGTTGACAGGAAATCACTCCTATCCATTTTTGTTACTTCGAATTGTTTGGTAGTAGGTCGGCAGTTTTTAATTATGCTATACCAATCATCTGCATCATAAATGACTGAATGTTTTTTGGCATTGCTTTCAATGATACCAAAGTCGGCATCATTAGACAAATAACTATGGCCAGTTATCACAAATTTTATGTCTATAATATCTTATTATCGATGACTGCAGCAACTTCATTAGTGTAAGAGTTAACTTAATGTTACGGTTTTGACCCCCACAGGAGTCTGCATACATTACAATATGATGAGCGTCATTTGCATGATTTTCTAAATGTTTTTTCAGGCATGCAGATATCTCTTGAGATCCTCGAGAACCATCAACTTCTGACCAAACATACATGTATCGAGTGCCTGTATGATAAGGATGCACACTGAGATTATAAACATACATATTTCGTTTATAATACGCCACAGACGTGGTTAGCTTGGGAAATGCCAGAGCCTTTTGTAAATCAAATGTAAAAACATAGTAATGGGTACTTGATTTTTCTTTATCCACTTTTAAGGCACTTCGAGCTTGCTCAGCTTTCCTTAAATGTAATTCATTTTCAATTTCAACTTTTCGTTTTTCTTCTGATATTATAGCTTTATTCAACGTAACTTGTGCAGCATCACACTTTGAGCAAGTATCTTTCAAGGGTTTCTTAAAATGTAAATTGAACTTAGTGGAAAATACCGAATAATACATTTTTTCTTTTACATGTGTTACCTGCCATTCATTATTACATTTGTCCACGTACATGTTATACATTTTTCTGATAGTCAGATCGGGATGCAAATACTTACGGTTTGGATTGTGTGTCCGCGTTTAATGGCTTTGTTATGCTGGGATGGAGTTTATGTGTTCAACTACTTTAGACACGTCAACTTTATTCTTTGGTGATAACACATTTACAGATCGTAAACCACAAATTTCACTTTTGCCGCCACTATTACGCACTCGGTGATCACTGATTTGAAACGTCGCTTTGAAGTACTTCTTACACACTTTAATGCTTTCTCCATTTATTCTAAGACTAAAGTGTAGGGTTTTTTCTTTTGGCAAACCTGAAGTTACTGTTTCTCTGGGACGATGTCTAGCTACCACTGAAGAGTGTATGATACCACTCAAAAATATATTTTGTTTTGCCAATCGCCCAGTGCATAGAATGAATTAAACACTTTCTGTTGTTGATCAAACGTTATTTTTGAGTTACAATTTAGTCTACAATAACAATCATCGTTCTTGAAAGTTTTTTCTTCAATTGTTTTACCTTTACGATTCACATATTTGCCTCCATGAGCACGGGCTAAGCTGTTTTTCTTTCGTTTCCAAAGTTCTGGATGGCGTGGTCTTTTTCGGCCTCGTATTTGTTCACTATCAGTGACGTGATCTTCTTGATCATTATTATTAAAAACTGAAATAACTCGAGACGGTCCTGCTTCATCATCCGGTACAGGAATTTCATTTTCAACACTTGTATCGGAAGCACATTCCTCACTCGGTACATAATCTGATCCAGAATATTCCTTAGAGCATAAAATACACAGGAAGGAGTATAAGCGAAATGACCTTGAGTCCGCGAAGGAGGTTGCAAATGGCGACCAGGCTGTCAGATTTTGAATTGCGCCTCCAGTGACGTACCGTTCATAGAGGGTAGAAAAGAAGGTCCTAAAGATAATGTCGGATCAAAAAGTAGTTTTGTATACAACAAATAGTTTTTAAGTTAGTATCTACAACAAAAGATATTAATTTTAGAAGAAAAAAATAGATTTAACAATGATTACAATTATTGAATTATTATACATTCAATATGTATGTATGTCCATTGTAACACTACTATATTTTATTTTTGTGGTCATGAGATACAAATATAACTCGTACATGTTGACCTACAGTTTTACCAGGAGATTCATTTCAAGATGCAGCATAGCGAATACAATAGTAAATAAGAAATATTCAATTATTGCCTTCACTAATTATTCTGGAGCCTAATTTTAGGTTTTCGTAAACAAATTCTACATGCAACAGTAATTTTGTTTTCCCGTTTCTGAATTCGAAAATAGATAAATTTAAACAGTTTATTTTTTGTGAAGCTATTTGAAATAATAAATAATACTTTGTATGGTATTATTTATGATCATTTTATGATGATCACAAATATTTGCTGCTATGTTCCTTGTTTGTGCAAAGATCAAATTCATTTTTGTTATTAGCCAAAACATTGAATAATAAAAAATTCATTTCTATTTGTCATTGCAATCTCTATACTGCATCTTGAAATGAACCACTCAGTAATTCAATATAATGTTATGTGAGTGTAATTACGGTCCTGTAAATAATCGAACATTCAAGTCATAATATGACTTTTAGAATATTATTCTAAAAGTTCTTCTAGTTTCGATATCATCTCGAAAAACATCTGAATTTACGCTATTTTTGCTGACTGCGTTCTAGTTAATTCGCGAAACGACTGTTATCTTTAAATAGAGTGCGGCATTGCTTTGAAAAGACATTACGAATCGAGCCAAGTGTTTATAAATGCGATAAGAGGTTGTACACGATAATTTATTAATGTTCTTTTATTGTTAATGAGATTAGTTAGAAAGAATTTTGGTAGTAAGAAGTTGAAATAAATTAGTAAAACATTACGTGTATTTCACTTAATCCCTGAACCCATAGAAAAACAAACGTAACAATATTATCAGACATTTATGTCTTTTGTATAAGAACATACAGGATGCTTTAAAAAATAAAACTCTAGATCAAAAAGAAGTTTTTTATTGTCCTTTAAACAGTACTAATTTTGTACAAATATTTCTAATACTAATCTCATTGATGGCATTTTTACAAATAAAATGTAATCTAGTGTTCAAATATTGATGACAGATACTTTTAATTAAGAGTATCTTATGACTCTCCAACGGAGTTATATCATGTGGTTGCATATTTTGAAATAAATTTTGACCTGAAAAATGTTCCAGTACTTTTATATATATAAACTGTTTATTTATTTTATTTCCATGTTTATTCTTCTCCTCCCTTAAGAACTTTTCACATTTTATACATATATTAATAACATCATAACTGGGGTAACTAAGAGCCTTCCTAGATTTATGATAAATCAATGAATTTAAAAAGTTTTCCTTAACACCATATAGTTCAGATATACAATTTTCACACTGTAATATCTTACCAAGTTTAAAGCTCACAAAACCAGCAATGTATGTGACCACTTCTAAAGAATATGGTGATAAGGAATCCATTTCAAATGCATAGTTATGATCATTTAACAAGTTTGTCAAATGTTCATAATCCATGTTAAATGCATAATTATGCTCATCTAATAAGTTTGTCAAATGTTCATGTTCATTTGAAGTTACTCTATTAGTGACAGATTCATTGATAATTTGTTCTGGAACTTTTTTTTTGATGATACATTAAGAATATTAATGTCCTCCAACGGTACACAGTTTCCTGCTCCACCATCCCTTACCTCGGCATGAATTAAAATTTTTTTGTAAGCAGCAGTAAACTGTCTACAGGTGGGATTATTGTTGTAACCCCCTTGAGACCTTATAGCACCAAAAAATAATTCTATATGATCTTGGTTTATTTTGTATGTTGGAATGAATTTAATAATACTGGTCTCAACATATTTTTCATACAACCCCAGTACAACCTTGAGGCCCATTAATAATCCAACAAAACCAGATTTTCGTTTGGAATCTAATACTGGTTGCCCATTAATCAACTTTAATCCCAGAACATATTTATAAAATTTAAAATAAAATGTTTTAATATTATTAATATTGTAGGAACATACTGCTTGCTTGTATCCAAATTGGCTAAGTTTATGGGAATTTAAAATATCAAATGCATCGTTCATTAGTAAAATAAACTCTGATGTTGCTGTACAACCATTAAATTCTTTTAATTTGAGTTTATTGGTACAATAAATTAAAGAATCCGATACAGATCGACTTAAAAGTTGTGTTGCTAATTTAACTTTCATCTTTTGTTTAAAAAATTGAATGTGTCGCTTCCTTAAATTATTTCCCAATTATTTCCCTTCATTTTCTTGTAGCTCATTTAGTTTTATAAGATATGTAAAATCTATGACTTTCCCATCACAATTTATAAATCTCTTTTTGTCTGCAAAACAATTTCTGACCAATTTTACCATATGTGGTGGATCAGGCAACAAAAAGTATAAATTATCATTAAAATGAAAATGAGCATTTACATTATTTTTATTGAATGGGCTACCAAGTGATGAACACACACTAAAATTTGCTGCAGTACCATCGAAAGTGATATTTGTGACAGTTATGCCTACATTTGTTAATAATGTAAGTGCTTGTTTTACCAAAGATTGTTTTTGTTCACTATTTATTCCAGCAGTAAAAAAATAGCTTATAGGTATTTTCCATGCTTTATTTATACAAACAAGCATGAACACTAACACTTCTTTGGCTATATCCACACTGTCACCATAGAGTCCATTACCACAATCTACATACCCATAATATTTATCCCCTACATATTCTACATGTTTCCTAATGGACATTTCGTCAAAAACTAACGAACAAAGCAGCCTCTTTTCTGAATTAACCACTTTAACTCTTAAGAAATCTAATTCTTCAGATGTAAAGCCAGGCTTAGCATCAACTGAAGCATACCATTTTGAGAGAGTTTTTGGATGTGGTAAGCAGTTATTAAATGATTGTCTTACATAATTGTAAGCTTTTGGGGAAAAAAAGTGCAATGTTACTGCAAAAGTCCTTACTGAATGTTCATACACCCGTTTAGTACTTTTATTTTGGCTTTTTTGGAACAGCCCTTTAACCAACTCATTATTTTTGCCAAATTGGTCCAACAAGATATCTTCTTGCTGTTCCAATATTAAATTTATTTGTTTTAGTTGGTTAACCAGACTTCTTAAAGATAAAATTTGTTTTTTTCTTTGCCATGCTACCTTTTGTAGTTTTCGAATTTTCCTGCTTTTAAGGACATTTATTTGCTGTTCTTCCACAAGTTTTCTCTTCAAGATCTTTTTTCTTGGTGTGTCTGGTATGTTGGCAGTAACAGTGGATGATACATTTGGAATAGGAGAAGGCAAACGAAATTGGGAAGGTCCTGGTACAGCTATTCTAGTCTCTAGGGCTGGGTCTTGAGTGTCAGTTGGTATATTTTCTACACACAGAGGTTTCAACACCATTGGGTTGTATGTTCTTACCTGTAATAATGAGCATATTTACTTTACATACATTATGTTTTAATATAAAAACATAAAAAACAATAGGTAGATTTTAAAAATTATCATTAAAAATCTTGCACAGAATAAAATAATTTTGAAATATAGTACTAGCAATGCTGCTGCTGTCTACATTGGTCTAAAATAAAGAAATCTTGAAATAATGTATTCTAACACCAACCTCCTGTAAACTATTTAGTATTTATGTTTATATTACTACTTACATATTTCAATCTCTCCACTTCCACTGTAGGGACAGCAGTTGCTAGTAGTCTTACTTTCAGTTTAGATGTTCTATCAAAGCAGTCCTGGGCAAAATGGTATGAACACAGAACACTTGATGGTTTTGGTAACCAGTCTGGCTTTCTTAAGAATTCAATCCACAATGTTCTTCTGCGACAATCTTTTGGAAAACTACAAAATATGTTAATTAAAGAAATTATAATCTGCAAACTTTCTCAAATTTAAACTTACACATTACCAAACAAGAAAGTTATATCTAGTATAGACACTAACTTAAAACATGAGTGATAATTGAAGCTATTAATGCAAGAGTTAATCAGCAACTTTTATATTCTGAGAAAATATGGGTCAAAGTTTATTGATTGGAGTTTTTTGGTACTTATCCATATAAAATGTGATTTATAAAACTTGTAATTTGATAAATTAAGGCACATATGCTTGATGTTAACAGCTATAGATCAGGAGCAAAAACTTATTAATAAAATATTTTGTTGATAAAACTCAGTTAACTAACATTTTTACATTAATAATTCAATCAAAATTGATTGCATATTACAAAACAGGAGCTTTATAATACCAGTGGTACGCCTATGCCCACAGCTGATATTTGAGGTTTGTATACAACTTTTAATCAATTAAATACAATGTATTTACTGCATGTCAAGCAGAACTCTACATATATTTGAAAGTTGATATAATTTACAGCTTACCTATGAAATGTAATTCCTTCATTTTTAGTTTTCTGGGTCATAGTACAACCACAAGATGCACAACTAACCATAATATTTTTATAGTCTTTTTAATGAACTTATACTAACACTATGTAACTGCTATATATACTATTTGTAACTAAAGATAAATACGATAAAAAATGAATACAAAACGTCCTCGCAAAAGGTATATTATAAGTAACAACACTTGATAACACTAACAAGAGGTTCCGCTTTTGAAATACGTAAACACTATGAGTCATCCAAGGAAGGTCAAGATGGCCGACTTCCATCAGAAATTTGATGTATTGTTGATATATGACAGACTCCTTCCTGTATATTTTATGTTCTAAGGAATATTCAGATTCACTCATTGTTGTCTTTTAATTTTCAATAACAATTTATTTATACCTGGTTAGGCGAATTCCTAACACAACGAACGAACACAAACAACGTATCTTATAGTAAAAAAACTACGATTAACCTTACTTAACTCTGTTCCCGCGCACAACGAGACAAATGCTATGTGACAACTGAAACTATTTTAAAATTTATTTCCGTGACAGAACACATGCTGCCATCTCTGGTATAAGGGATAAGATAATTGAAATGAGAAATTGAAATATTATTTTATTTAATATTAGATATTTTTAAGTCAGCCATGTGCTTATGCAACCAAACATACACTGTAGTGTCAAAGTCAAAAAGTTATTTATTTTGAGAATTTTAATTTAAAATAAACTTACATATGTAGAATAGTAAAAATATATTTCATATAAATGTTTAAGTTACATATAATAGTGTAGTTCTGATCTGGAGAGCCTAAAGTCAAGTAAATTGTACATAGACAGTTCTAGAAATGTCAATGGGACTATTTGCATAATACATCATAGACAAAAAACGATTCCATTTTATTCCAGAATGTTCAGATAGAAAAAATAGAATGATTCGAACCTTATTTATTGCTAGATTATTCTGGAAAGAGGAAGGATATATAAACCATGTAATTTGGAGCGGGAGTTCAGATATCAGTTAGAAGTCAGTTGATTAGTTACAGTTGATTAATCAGTTAGTAAAGTGAGTCAGTAAAGTTATAATTCAAGAATTTAGTTACAAGAAGATTATTAAGTCAATTATTATTATTATTAAGTCAGTTACATGTGATTATTAATTACAAAGAAGAATTAAAAATAATTTATGAGGTTATGAAGAGATTATTAGCTAGAAGAAGGCATTGATTAAGTTAAATGAATTATTAAGTAAAATACAGTTGGAGATTAATTATTACTACAGTAATATAGTGACAGTTTAAAGTTAATTCATTGAAGTAAGCATTTAATAATACAACCACAAGATCCAGTATATTTGAAAGTACATTATATGGAAATTACAAGGATTTAAATTTATGCAGAGCAGAATTATGCAGAACGTATACTGCTATTTGCAGGTATGAACAATACGAGCACCCATCAAGGCATTGACAGACACGGTAGAAAGACACCTGGGAATAAAACTTCTGATGAACAAGTTGCAGTAGTTAAAAACCACATTTAAAGTTTTCCTTCTATTGAACCACACTAAGTACGAAAGCGCACACAAAAGAAGTATTTGGATTGTAAGTTGTCGACATTAAAAATGTATGAGCATAATTCAAGATGGCCGCTGTCGAAGATGTACGGCCAATTGATGGTGAAAACTTGGAAATAAATTTTAAATGCTGCGCTAAAAAAGAGTGTAAAACAGTTGTGTGTAAATATTGTTATAGTGTTTTTCACTCTAGCTGTGCAAAAATATGTGGATTTGAAACATGTGAGAGAAATATCATAATATGCTGTGACAAAAAAGGCGGTGATACCGAAACAAACGAGATGTCAACTACAGAAGAATTATCCAAACTGAGATTAGAAAATGACCTCTTAAAAAGACTAATTATGGAAATGGAAGACAAAAATGTTGTATTAAAAAAAACAATAATTTATTGCGCCAAAAAGTAAGTTAGATAGAGCAAAAAACCGCAAAAAAAACTGAATACAAAAGTGTAAATAAACAAGATCAGATAATGGATCACTGTGTTGATAAAAAATTCTCAAGGTCGGTACCACCTCGTACACAAAATAGATCATTCACAGAGGTAGTAGCTCAAACGTCAAAAAGTTTAAGTAGTTCCTCTGAACAGAAGACAAGTGACAACATTAATGTCAACCTCAAAAATAAACAAACAACTGAGGTTAATGAGCAAATAAAAAAACATAAAATAACTGAGGAAAACAGCGATAGTAACTCAGATGGGTTCCAAAAAGTTATACACAGGAGACATCGGTACATAACTAAAAAAAATATAGGAACGGCAGTAAGCGACGACGATAGCACAAGTGGTTTTGCAGGGGAAAAGAAAAAAGTGTGGCTATACTTGTATAAAGTGAAGAGAACAACAAAACAAGAGGAGATATGTAAATTTCTAATAGAAAAGAGGAAAATGCAACAAGAGTCTATTATGGTAAAGGAATTGCCAAGTCAAGAAAATATGTTGAAGAGATTTGTTGTAACGGCTCCCTTTGAATATAAGGATGACATGTATAAACCAGAGTTATGGCCTAATGGTGTTGGCATAAAAAGGTTCCAGATGCATCGTTATAAGGATTTTCTAGATAACCGAGGTGGAAATTTTTCATAGGAGAAAATAGAGAGCACAAGACACATCAACACAAGGAAATTGAAATACAAAACACCGTCACACGAGCAAAGAATATAAGTATCATCCACCAGAACCTCCAATCCATAGGAAATTGTATTGATGAAATAGAAGAACTTCTAACAAACAACAGTGACTGTAAAATATTGTGCACAACAGAACATTGGAAAACTAAATAAGAATTAAGTGAATATAGAATTAACAATTTTGTGCTGACAGCTAGTCATTGTAGAAATAATGTGAATGAACATGGAGGAACAGCTATATATCTTAGTAAAGACATTATTGGCCAGGAAAGATAGGATATACAAGAGTTATCAGTAGATAGGGTAATAGAGTGTGCTGTATGCGAAGCTAATATAGGTAATAACAAACTCATTATAGCATCAGTTTACAGACCATCAGGTAGCGATCTGGCAGTTTTTTTTAAACAAATTTGATATTATACTGAGAAGAATTATGATAGAAAACACAATTATAATTATATGGGGAGATTTCAATATCGATCTTAAGAATAACACATTAGATAAAGTAAAATTTTGTATGTTAATTAACTCATATAATATTTGTCATGTAATTGAAGACTACACTAGAGTAACTGCCACATCTAAAACTTGTATAGATAACATACTAACAAATATGCAATCATATGTGTCAGTAGAAGTCTTGCACGCTGGAATCTCTGATCATTCTGCCCAAGAATTAACTTTTCAGGTAGAGGAAGCAGAAACGAATACTCTTGAAATGAAAATACATTTTAGTACAAATAATATTGAAACCTTTATAAGTAAATTACATAATCATGACTGGCTTAATTTAAGTTACAAATGTGTAAATGATCAATGGAATACTTTATTAAATCAGTTTTTGTATATATTCAATCAGTGCTTTCCTTTTAAAAAGTTAGATTCTAGGCAACGTAAAAAAGGCCTTAATAAAAGAGATGATCCAGAGATAATAGAATGTAAGACTCGTTTAGACATCTTGTTTACAATGAGCAGAGTTAACCATAAATTCTATGATTCCTATAGACAGGTAAAAAAAGAATATAATAAGAAACTAATAACAAAACGATCAAAGCTATATGAAAACAGGATGTCTGAAGCTGCCAACAAAAATAAATGCATGTGGCAAATTGTTAGTGAAATTAATGGTCAATTAAAAAGTGTAAATTCAATAAAAGTAGAGGGTAGTCCTCAAGAGATTGCTGATAAATACATGATCCACTTAAATACTTCTTTAAATAACACTTTATCTCAATTACAATACACTGAATATAAAGACAACATTGCAAGTAACATAAGTTCAGTGTTTGTCGCACCTGTGACAGAAACTGAAATTATGGATATAACTAAAAATTTAAAAAACAAAATGAGTTGTGGAATTGATGAAATACCCACTAAAATCCTTAAACTTTGTATAAAGGAGATAGTGAATCCTCTCACTACAATCATAAATAATTCACTAAAATCTGGTGTATTTCCTGAATGTCTGAAAACTGCCATAGTACCACCTGTTTACAAAAAGGGTGATCCTAAATTAATTAATAACTATAGACCAATTAGCCTTCTATGTCCCTTTTCAAAAATCTTAGAAATGACTATGTATAGGCGGATAACAGAATTTTTAACAAAATGTCATATTATTAGTGCAAATCAGCATAGTTATCAACAGGGAAAATCAACTCAGACTGCGATTTTTCAATTTATCTGGGATATCTTGAAATGTACTGAGATTGGTCATATGGCTTTGGGTCTCTTTTTGGACCTATCAAAGGCATATGACTGTTTAGTGCTTGACATATTATTTGATAAATTGGAGAAATATGGTATACGTGGACCAGCATTGAACTGGTTTAAGTCCTACTTGGCAAATAGGAGACATTTAGTAAAAATACATAAAAACACTGAAATAGGCATCTCATCTGAAAGCACTATCAATATTGGAGTACCACAAGGAAGTGTGATTGGTCCTTTACTGTTTGTGATCTATATCAATGATCTTCATGGTCTAGTGGTTAATACTACTCCAGCATAACAAATTATGCAGATGATACAAACATTTTAGTCAGTGGTAAAGACATGTCTGTTCTAAGCGTTAATGCTAGTTTAGCGTTCCAGAAAGCTAAAGACTGGTTTTCTATAAATAGGTTGGTTTTAAATCAAAATAAAACAGATCTTTTGTTTGAGACAAATTATGCACATTCAGATATGCCAAACAGTATTATTGTAAATACTGACACTTTAAATATTAGCAGCAGTACCAAATTTTTATGATTATATATTGACAGTTTTTTATGTTGGGATAAACATGTTGACCAGTTATGTATGTCTTTGAGTAAAGTGATTTACAGCTTTTGAGTTCTAAAAAATACATGAA